TATTTTTTCTTGCCATTTTACATTTTTATTGTTTTTTTTGTTTGTTTGTTTCTCTAAAATCTCTTTTGTTATGTGAAGCACTTTGTGTTAACTCCAGATTCGTATGTAAAGTGCTACACAAATTAAGTCTGATTGTCATAGACTTTCTGATATAAGATCATTTTACACTGAACTACATCAAATTCCGGAAAAAGAAAAGGAAATATGAATGTCCCTAAACATAAATAGTTCATAAAAATCTGGAAATGATGAATGAGGAAACTATTAAAAAAGAAAAGTCTGACCATGCACTTTCATCATCCTGTTAATTCCCTGACAGACAGCAGAAATGAAACTTTCGACCGACAAAACTGAGAAATACTTTACATCAGGGTCATTGACACCAGTAGTTGTGGTCAATTTTAAACTAAATGATTTCACTTGAAACTCAAAGGCAACACATCACACTGATCCCAGCAGAAATCTGAACTGGTATTTCAGACTTGGTGAAGAGTGGTGATAGATAAAAACATTTGTTCCACATTCCTCTAGTTCCCAGGAGAAGCATAAATCAGAAACATGAACTCTTTCCAGGAAATGCATTCATAGCATTAGTTAGTCAAATCATATTTATATTTGTGGAATCAGTGACCTTATCATGATGCTCTTATTTTGGTATACATATTGTTTTTCTGTCTTGTCATGTAAGTATGCACATTCATTCAACATAAAGGGGTAAACAATTTTTTATTTTATTTTATTTTTTAAACTAATCCTTGGTAAGATTTGTATTTTCACAATGTCCCCCAAAAAGTACATGGACTGAGGAGTGAAAAGGAAGTTTTGCTTTAGTATTGAGTGAAACAAAAGTACAGACTGGCTTTAACTTTAATTCCATGCTATTTATATACAACATGCATCTAAACATGTATTTTTATAAAGATATCTATAAGGTATGTATGTTCATTTATAAGTCAGAAAGTATATTAACAGCACAATGAAATGTCTGCTATCTAGTAACACATTTTTGAGTATATAGCTATAGAAATATATATATATAGACAACATTAAAACCACCCTTCTAATATTGTGTCGATCCTCTTTGTGCCATAGTGATGTGAGCTGAAGACTTCTGTGAGTGTCTTGTGGTGTTTGGCACCCAGACATTAGCAGCAGGTTCCTGTGAGTTGTTGAGTCAGGGCCTACCTGGATCAAACTTTTTCCAGTAGATGCCTTGGAAGTATGATCATCTTGGTATCTGAGGGGTTTAAAGTCCAAAAGAAAAGCCTTGAGCTCGTGGTCGTGCTCCTCGAGCTGTTTAAAGCAGTTTATCATGATGTCGTGGGCTGCATCATGCTGGGAGTGCTGTTGTTATAGATCAGGGGTGTCGAACTCTGGTCCTCGAGGGCCACAATCCTGCATGTTTTAGATGTTTCCAACACACCTGATTCAAATGATCAGCTCGTCATCAAACTCTGCAGAAGCCTGATAACGATCCTGATCATTTGAATCAGGTGTGTTGGAAGAAGGACACATCTAAAACATGCAGGACTGTGGACCTCGAGGACCAGGATTCAACACCCCTATTATAGAGGGTTGAACTTGGTCTGGAACCATGTTTAGGTTCGTGTCAAAGGACCATGAATGCCAGGATCCAAGGTTTCCCAGCAGAACATTGTCCTGTAAAAAGCTCGAGCAACGTCATTCATTTCACCTGTTGAGGCTGATTGGTCTACATTTTTATATGCAAATAGCAAACAAGTTGTTTGTTGTGTATAAATGCGGTGAAAAGAAGCCAGTCCTTACTTGTGTCTCATGGTCTTGTTTTGATCTTCAGTTGAATTGTATATTGTTAGTGTCATTTAAGTTCATATTAAGCTCTACTTGTGCAGATAGTACTTTGAAACAAATGAGAAAATTTTCTGTCATACTGAGCAAAAATCTAAATGCAAAACCTAATATTATATTCAATTGTGTCGATTGTTTTTACCCTTAGGCCAATAAGAAGTTGTTGTTCCAATACATGGCATCCGTACCACAGAATGGAAAACATGAAACAAGCAAGTACACACTATATGTGAAATGATAATGTGAAGACTGAGAGAGGGATCAGAGATCAGAACGTCAGTAAGGAGTGCGTCCACCATTTGCAGCGCATAGTGCCACACATCTGCACACTAAAGAGTTCATGAGGTTGCTGATGCTACTTGTGTTACGTTGTTCCAGTCTTCCTAAAAGGTGAAGCTGGTGGACATTATAGGGGACAGGATCACGTTGCAGGACACAACCATCCAGGGTTTGTCAGAAACAATGTCCAAATGGTGGAACACTTTCAGTGCCTTGCTATGAATCCTTGAGGTCAACAACCTGTTCTTGTTTTTCTTTTGTCACCTGTGGCATCACGTTATTTAAATCTAGATGTCTATTAAGGTATCCCCGGTTAGCGTCCAGGTTAGGATGCCTGGGATCTTTCTGTGTGGAGTTTGCATGTTCTCTCCATGCAGCGTGGGTTCGCTCCGGGTTCTCCTACAAGGTTCAAAAACATGTTGAGGTTAATTGGTGATTCTAAATTGTCCGTAGGTGTGAATGTGAGTGTGCTTGGTTGTCTGTCTCTAAGTGTAGCCCTGCGATAGACTGGTGACCTGTCCAGGGTGTCCCCTGCCTTCACCCTGAGTCAGCTGGGATAGACTCCAGCCCCCCACGACCCTAGTGAGGATTAAGCGGTGTAGAGATAATGGATGGATAGATATTAAGGTGGACTTTTACAGAGACTGATCAAAGGAGTGACTGTGACTCATCATACTATCTGATCATTGTAATTTAAAGATCCAATATTGTGTCCTTTTTCAGCAGATAATGAAAGTCTCACAAGTCCCCACAGTGTGTCGTTCAGCTTATCAGCTCAAAATACTACAAAGATGGTTCATTCCTCCATGACTCCTGCTTTCAAGGCTCTTCTAAACAGACTTTTTTTGCTCTAAAAACCAATAAGTTTACACTTTTTTCAGGAAGAACACGCTTTCTAAGCCTGCGTTCTGAGTCCTACATTCCAGTTGCCCCCACAAAGTATGTGCTGTTTCACACTGTACGTATACAACTGGGACGTAGTACTTTATCATTTTAGCGCACCTTAATCTTTAACTATCACAGTCTGTAGTGTGAAATGAGCTGTCATTTGTTTGTGCATTGGTGGCGGCTTGAACTTGTTTATACTTGCACAGACCGCAACATATGTGATGCAACCTTGTAGAGGACTGTGGGAAATAATGAATAAAAAGCATGCTGGCCTACTTACTGCAAAGTTCGGCAGGATGTGGGAGGACATCCTGGTGTTTTCTGCACTTTACATACTATATATTGGAATAAACTAAATCTTTTTCTGCTGTACCATACAGTGTGGTAGGGTGTGTCTGTAAATGACAATCACAGTTTGAGCTGGTTGACTATTGGTCAGATGGGTATGAGGTAGCACCCGAACCATCCAACCCTTCACTTCAGAACATGTTCAAATCTGATAAAGATGAAGTCAAATGCCGTTTCAAGTCACTTTGTGTACAGGAATTCACAGGGTTTGACTAAATATGGCCTTTCTGGGCCAGCAAACATTGTTTAAATGCACAAAAAACAGCAACACTTTAGTTTTTGAGGCTCAGTATTTACTAACAAGTCTTTGCTTCAGAACGTGTGGTCAGATTCATGCTCTTTTATGAAGCTGGGAGGCCAACTACTTGTGTGGTCACTTGAGGAATGATAGAAGTAAACGCCTTCAGAGTTTTATAGCTTTTATTTTTTTTTACATCTCGGACCACAAAACACACACGCAAACAATAACAAAATAAAAGGATTTTCACCATAGGGACCTTTAAAGCAACACCTCAATAGTTGAGATCTGTCACCAGCGGAACAACTTTGGTGCACAAACGGTTAGATTGAACCTTTTTCCAACTGTAGCACTAGAAATGTGATTTTTACCCTTTTCTTTAAGTCTGGAAGGAACAACATTAGCATGCTGAGTTTTTATTTTTGCTGTGTTTAATGGACAAGCGGTTAACAAAGGTGGCCTCTGGAGGTCGGGGGCCCCCATGACCTGCTGGCCTCAGCTAGGTCAAGACAAAAAGAGAGTTTTATTGGTAGAAGATCTGTAGCTACCTGTTCTACGAAGGAACATGGAGAAAGAAAAAAACACAGGGAGAGGGGAAAAACATAGAGGTATCTGTTGCAAGATCTCGCAAAACTTTCTTGGGATCTCGCAAGAACTTTTGTGAGATCTCGCAAAAGTATGGGAAGCACCAGTCTGGTAGGTGGCAGTGATGCACCTGAACGTTTAATGCCAACCTCCAAATCAATAGAGGAAGAAGAAGAAGAAACCTATAGGTATGTATACTTCTGGGTCTTCATGGCAGTGGGTGCCTGTACTAGAGTTTTATTGAGGTTTATTTTGAAATCAGCCTAAAATATAAAGACATTCAAGCAGCGCTTAGCAAGAGGCACAGTTTTCATAAAACCTCCAATAACATTAATGTGACTTTTGTGAGAGATCTCGAGAAAGTTTTGCAAGATCTTGCAAAAGATTGATCTATTTTTTATTTCCTCTCCAACTTTTTTTTCTTTCTCCAGCTTATGATATATAGAGAAAAAGTTTAGCAAGAGAGAGAAGCTACTGGATCAGAAGCTGTAACCTGCAGCCTGGCGGGAACTTGAGCTCTTGAACTGTTAAAGTGAACCAGCCCCTCTGTGGTTCACAAAGTGGGGGTCAGGGGCCCCCTTCAGGTCTTTGAAGGCGTCTTGGGGATGAACTAAAGACAAGAAGGAGAAATGAAAAAAACTGCCAAAAACTGCACAGTGATGAGCTGTAGGGTTTAACTTTACTTTTTATTCCTGTAGTGCTGCTCTCTCAGCTGTGGATGTCTGAATGGTGGAAGGAAAGAAAAAAAAAAGAAGGAGGGAGAGAGAGAGAGAGAGAGAGAGCTTCCCCTGGCAGGCATCATCCCCCTCAGCCAGGCTGACCGCCCACAGTCTGAAGGGGGAGAGAAAGTGCTGCTTTGTGAATGACGGGAGCGGCGGAGGACACAAAACCAAAGTTTAGCGCTGAGATTTCCGACGATTCTACATCCAGCGGAGGAAGTTTTTTCGGACGCGCCGAGCGGAAGAGCCCACCTGGCCGAGGAGCGAGCGAGCGAAACGCGGTAAGAGGCGACGGCTTTTCTCGGAGCTTGTGTGATAGAAAAGCAGATTGACAGTTTTTTTTTTTTTTTTTTTTTTCGACGGAAAGATGCATGAACGGCAGCCCAACCGTTACTGGAATAATTTTGGGGGAGATGGGAGAGATTAAAAAAAAAAAAAAAAAAAACCGGGACAGAATTGAACTCCATGATCTCTTTAATCATCTTTATTCAGATGTGAGCAGCGTTCACACTCATCCAAACCAGTTTAAGACGCCTTTTAAAGCCCGGAGATCTGGAGTGATTTTTTTTTTCTTTTCTAGACGTGAAATGAGATTGCATCATGGTGTTTGATTAAATCCCACAGGTTTGCTTTATTTGGGATTCATCTGAAGCCTTCGTGTAAAGTTTCCATCTGCTCGCCGCCGTGTGTGTTTCGCAACATTTCGTGACTCATGCAGCAGACGTGCATTCCCAATGTCACCATAGACACAAAATAGACTCATAGAAGGCTCATTCATGATATTATGAGCTTTCTTCTCATAAGTCTGGTCTGCAGGGGGTAAACAAAATTGCATCTCGGTGGCTGTTTTCTGCTTTAAATTGGAAATGCAGCAATGAGACTAAAGCTTTATTCATTCTGTTTAGAGGCAATGCAGATTGTGATTAAAATGTGTTTTTTATAGAAAAGCATCAACAAGTTAGATGTGTTGTTTGGGCAATTTTAATCTACTGTTGTTATATTTCCACATGCATATCTATAGAAATAATAACCTCCTGTGTAATACTAAGTCGCCCTCAACCAGCTCTGACCTATGGGTGCCTGCTAAAGTGGACCTTTGTGGGTGTCCTTTGGTTTCTGCATCAGGACGTTGGCAGCAGATCCTGTGGGTCTTGTGAGTCGTGGGTAGAGCCCGACCGATTCGAGGTTTCTGCAGCCGATGCTGAAGATAATCAGTTATCGATACCGGTTTTGCAGATATATATATGTTCTTCTGAAAAGGGCAAATGATTTATTAACTTCCCAGCAATGTATTTGACAAACTAGTCGGCGGCTTATGGTGAAGACACCATTTGACTCCGCACCACTGTCTGCTCTGCTGCATGTGCTGCAGACAAATGTTGGAAGCAATGCAGATGTCTGCTGGACAGAATATGTAATGATGCTGTTTCTACCCCAACCATCTTTTTTTTTGTATTATGTTCTGCAAAATAGAATTTTTAAACCAATATACCTGTGATATGATAAAATATATCACATCAGCCAACTGATATATCAGCTGGGATCTAGTTGTTGGATCCAGCAGATCACGTGGATGCTCAGTCGGATCGGGATCCAGGTAGTTTGGAAATGTAGTCAATGCTTCAGGCTTTTTGTCATGTTCCTCAAACTGTTCTTGAGCAATAATTTAGGGTGTAGTCGGTGTATCCATTTATTTCATGACTCATGCGTAAGACGTCACTGTGAACAAAAAATAGACTTGTGGAGGGTTTGTTCCTGATATTTTCATGTTTCTCCTCATAAGTCTGGTCCACAAGTGGTAAACAAAATTACTGTGAAGAAGCTTTTTATACAGCATTGTTTTTTTTGTGTTATGTTGCCCTTTGATTATAATCGCTGTCATATTTGAGTTTCACCATGTTTACTAAGTTTTCCTGCTTGGGAATCAAAAGGAAACTTTGTTGAGTTTCTCCTTGTCATTTTATAAGGTCTAAACCTTATTATGTGCACTGCCTTGAGATGACATATGTTAAGAATTGTTTTGGAGCTGGATAAATAAAACTGGATATTTTTGTTTTGTTGAGGAATGCAACTGGTGTTCTTTTTGCAGAAGCTGCCCTGCTCCTGTTGAGGCGTCTCAGAAAGCTGTAAGTCATGGTGGTCTGCTTGGCCTTCACTGCCTGGTGTCTCAGCCTGGTGGTGGTAGCTAGTGCTGACCCCTGCCTCATCATCAGCGAGATCAACGCCGACAACCCCCGACTGGACACCACTGAGTTCGTGGAGCTGTATCACACCAGTGGAAAGCGGGCTTCGCTGGAGGGCTACACCCTTGTGTTCTATAATGGAAATGGAAATGTAGCCTACAAGGTGCTGGACCTCAAGGGCTACAGCACAGACGACCGAGGTTTCTTCCTGGTGGGCTCGGTGGACATGCTGCCCAAACCGGCCATCCTCCTGCCTCCAAACACAGTCCAGAACGGCCCCGACGCCATCGTCCTCTACCACACATCTGCTGCTCGCTACAGTGAGAAGATGAACGTCACGGCCGTCGGTTTAGTGGACGCCGTCGTGTACATGACTCGCCGGACGGGAGGCGCAGAGTTCCTCGCTGAAACCCTGACACCCGGTGAGCCAGCGTTCGTCGAGGATGAAACGACGCTTGAAGGTGACGAGTCAATCGAGAGGTGCCTGCTGTCTGAAGACCGATGGGGCTTTCAGGTGTCTTCGCCCTCCCCGGGTCAGCGGAACAACTGCACTCCACCCGCCGCCGCAGCAACCAGTCCTGTCATTACCGAGCTGAAGCTGGGCGGAGGGCAGGTGGACGGATTCGTGGAGCTGACGGAAGCTCCGGCTGCGAGTCCTCTGGTGCTGGTGGTGTGGGATGGGAAAACAGACAGGGTGAGCGTCGGGGTGGACGTGGACGTGGACAGCTCCAGGAATGGGCTGATGTCTGTGACCATAGAGAAGAGCTTCATGAAAGGTTTGTTGTCATAATCTTGTTCTAATGCTCTGGATGGTGCTTTTTTATAGCGTAGGAAAGCCTCTTAGGTTTCACTAGTGGACACGATGGAGAGCGTCAGTGTATTTTGATGAATTTTCATTCATTCTTAGGTTCGTTTCACTGTAAATTCTTTGTTCCTGTTTTGTTTTCTCCTCAGGAGATGAGTCAGGAGCAGTGGCCATCTACAGCGGCAGAGCTACAGACTTCCCCGTTGGCAGCCCACTGAGTCAGATACAGCCTCTAGACGCATTTGTGTTTGCCGGACCTGGAAACAAGCCGAGTGCCAACCTCACCGAGACTCTCATCCCTGGCAGGCAGCCGTACCAGCTGAGCAACAGGCAGGACATTCTGATAACCATTAATAAGGATCATTTCTAGTTTGATGTTGCTCAGAATATGTTTTTGATGCCACTGTCAGAATTGTACAGTAGTTATTTTCATAGTTGCGACACGTTGAGTTTCACTGAGTGGGAGGAGAGGGTCTGCTCATGACTGCTGTTCCTCTTTGCTTTCCTGTGTCATCACAGCCGGGCAGCAGTGAGATGGAGACTCTCACTCACACTGACTCAGATGCTTTAATGATATTTGCACTTATATTTGACCACCGAGTTTAATAAGCACGTCTGTGATAAAAGCTGACCATGTTTCACTGCTGTTTCAGCTCTGAGAGGCCCAAGCGCGGTCGCTCTTTTTAGCAAAACGTGAACATCAACGTGCTCATAATGGCAACATGCTGAAGGTTACCACTTGGAGTATTTACCATGTTCATGCACTGGAGTCACTCCAATAGCATGGCTAGAATAACTTTCTGTGTATCTTAAGGGTATGTTATTTAATAGCATCTGGATGTAGATTTGTTTATGAACAGTCCAAAATATGAGCCTGTCATTTGATACGAACCAGAGGATTTGACTACAAAGCAAGTTCAACATGGCCTGGCTTTCTTTGCATAAGCTGGCTTGACAAAACATAAAACCCCAGTCAGAGGTATTGGGTTTCACAGAGGTGGTAATCAACTTTCTTTGTTAACCAGGTTTTCTTCACCAGGCTCTGTGTGTGCTCCCATAAAAGGAGGCGTTTGATGAGTCATTTGACTCTTTTTTTTTCCACACTGAATGGACCAACCCTATGCTGCATGAAGAGCTGTGAGGAATATAAACATTTATTGCGGTAAAAAGCGACACATGATGCAAGAGAGGAACGTTGGTAGAAAACTGTTGATGTGTATGTTGACTTCAGCAGTCGGTGCATTCTGAATGCAGCTGTGTAATTTTAGCGTGACCGATTCAGATATGACACTGTCCCGTCATGAGGGATACGTGGAAATCACTTTAGTTTTCGGCCAAATCAAAGTGAAATTAATATTATTGATTGAATGTTCTCTGTGATAAATACCGATACTCTAATCAGTTTTCTAATCGATTCTATTAGCTGCCAGTGTAGAACAGACTTGGCAGCAGATCAGGATCAAGCATAAAACCATATTTCTGCATAAACATCTGAATGCATGTGGATTCCTGTTGCAACACCGTGCACAGAGTTGACCTATTGAAACTCCACGGCTTTGTACAGGTCTGCAGATATAATGTGTTCCCGCAGCTGAGAATCAGTACAGACAGAATATCATTAGTAGAAGATTTGGTTAAAGCTGATTTGAATCCCAAACTCTGAACAGAACCTCCTCTGGAGCAGGTTAACGGCAAAGGACATCAGAATCATCAGCATCAGAACCTTTAGTTTTCAACATACCTCGCTTTGTCGCTTTTGGATCTAATTTTATAAACACGAAAAAATAAGAGTCAGCTAAGGTTTCTTAAAGATTTGACTAATTTTTTATTTTTTTTTTAGCTTGAGGGAGGGCGGCTTTTATCTGAGCCGCTGTGGTGTGGCTACGTGGCCCAGAGATCCTGGCATCTTCTGGGAGGCTCCACAGACTCCAGGCCTCCCCAACCAGTGCCCCTGGCCCAAGATCTGTCCCCACAGTATCGGTAAGTGTTTGAACGAGCTTTGTCCAACATTAAGACGTGTGAAAGTTTTTAGACTATAAGAAAGAACAGCCTAAAAAAAAGCATGTTTAGTAACAAACGTACATGTTTGGAGTTTACCGTAGTTAAGAAATAGAGCAGGTGAAGTTCAGCCAAATTGTCTGAAATGGAATTTCCAGCTTCAGGCAGGTTTAATTTTACAGCAAGTGTTTGGCCACTTGCACTTTTTGTGTTGTGAAATTGTGATACGGTATCTCAGCTAATTACATTTGACCAAGACGCATCATCTTGTTAAACCATCATCAGTTGCTCTGTGTAGCATAAAGGAGCTACATGCCTGCAAACAAAGATACTTTCAATTAGATGTTTTTTATTTTTAATGATTATTTTGAAGAAGCATGACGTTATGGTCAAAATGAGACACTTCCTTTGGCTACTCAGAATCTTCGTGCTCACATGCAGACAATATGTTGACCTTGGGGAAGTTCCATTCACCACTTCGCCAAGTGAAAAACGAAAGTGTTGCTCATTGAAGAACTGAGAGTTGGTTGAAGATGCTGCTCCAAGAAGGAACTGCTGTTAAGAGAACGAACAGTGAAAGTGTGTTGCTGAAGAAATGTGTTTTCACCAGAACTGAGAATGAAGGAAACCTGTTGACCTGTTTTCTATCGCTTGAACAAATGTGCAAAATGTTTAATTGCTCTGGACTTCTATGAATTAACGTAAATAAATAAGGCTGCGTGCTGTATATCTTACAGGAGCAAAATTAAATCCTTGAGATAAACTCCGATTGAAACCTCCAGAAAAGCTAATAAATGGACCGTGGAGTGAGAATGTTTTCTCAAATGCTTTTTCTCAAGGTCAAGAAAGAAATTTGAACCTCGAGGTCTGTATATTGTGCGGGAAGACTCGATAGAACGTCGGTACTAAAGCTCAGGCTCTGAGTGGGATTCCTGCGTCTGTTTGGCTCAATCAGTCCTGATTCTGATGTTTATTTATACCATGAGATGTCAGCCTTGGCCCGACGTGCACCTCGATAAGACACATTTTGAACAAACATATGGGAAAAACAATTTTCATTTTGCTTTTTGTGTGTATGTACAGTCACATTTTGCAGAAAATGAAGTAATAATTCATAATATAACAGAAATGACTTTCTGCCAGCAGCTTTCTGTTGCTGTTGTTCGCTGTCCTTGGTCAAGGTTTTCTCCGCTTCATTCATTGTGAGTTTGTTTGTGTAATTGAGTTATCTCTGTTTGGACCAGCTTGGATTTTAAACCTTGAGACTGAGGAGATTTTAGTTGGGGTTTTTTTTCTACTTTCTGTCACATTTTCAAAAGGTTGTTGGAGGGTTAGGACTTGGTTATAGGGTTAGTTTTACCCTATTCAGGACTTTCATGTTGCCATATGTAAAAGGTCTTTCGGGGTCCATTGGGTCCCGAGAAAGAGTATGTGCAAAATACTTGTTGGTATTCATTATAGACTTTTATTCTAAATGTCCCTATTTTTATATTTATTAAAAAAATCTTCAAAAAATAATAAAAAACAAAACAATACCTGTCACCTAAACCAAATGGCCTGGGGTCCCAAAAGTCCCGAATAGGGTTAAAGGTTGGGATTGAGCATTGCAGTGCTTAGAGAGAGGAAATCAGTGAGTCGGTTTAACGGGAGATGGCTGTGTTTATCCTGTATCGGTGGAGCTGGTGGAAGGAGGAGGGAGCAGCCTCGAGCAGTGTTCTCATTGAGCACCCGGACGGCCTGTGGGAAGAAGCTCCTCTTCAGCTTCACCATGTTGGTCCTCAAGCTGTGGTCGTGTTTTCCCGATCAAAGCACAGAAAACAAGGCCATGATCTGAGTGATCCGGGCCTCCGGCTGTTCTTATTTAGGGCTTTAACCATCATGAAACTTTAGTGGATGATTGATGGTTACACAAATAATTGTGACGAATTGTGATGTAATTGTCTTTTTCCCTTTCATTCTATACGTCTAAGCTACCATTGTTAGCAATTTTGATAACTGCTTTTTCCAAATTTCCTCTTCTAAATTATTAGTCTCTCTTTTTTCATTGACTTAAAACCAAAATATTCCCTCACTCTGCCGTGCTGTTTGGTTTGGCAACTAAATCTGTTCTGTTAATGTCAACGGATGCTCACAGAAATGAAGTCAGTCAAATATTAGATCTGAAGGGCCGTTAAACCAGAGCAAAACAGCGAGAACTGTTGTGCAAAATAGTGATCGAAATATGACATTTCTGTCATTTTGATTGAGTTGTTTTTATACAAATGAATAAATTATGTGAAATATTCATGCCCAAATAATTGCAATCAGGCGATTATATAATAATTATGTAATAATTGTGACAGGCCTATCCTTATGGCAATGGTTCTGCACTGCCGGGTGTTTATGTCCCGTAGGGCAGGCAAAGCAGCCCAGCGCTCCCAGCCAACAGGCTCGCAATCATGTCGCCACAAAATGTTCACAGCACGTGAGTGGAGAGCCTGGATGTGGCCGGGTGGAGAGGAAAGGGCCTTCATCACCTCAAAGTATCTGAGGTATTTCAGGTTACTCTCTGATATCGAGAAAGCTGTAGTGCACAACCAGCTCTTTAGAGAAGCGAGAAGCTGCTGCTGTGACACCATGTGAGCAGGTTCTCCACCTTTCCCAGGTCTCATCATTGTTGCAGACTCTGCCCACCACCGCCTCCACCGCTGTGTTGTTGGCAAACTTTGCCAGCGTATTAAAACTGCAGGTGGCTGAGCAGTCGCTGGTGGAGTAAAGCAGGGAGTTATTTCATTATAGGCGACACAGAGTGAGTCTTCCTACACTGGATTCACAGTTAATTACCTCTGTGTTCAAGGTGACTACATGCACTGTTATACCCCTAATACATTGCACACAACGCAAATAATCAGCAAACAGCGAATTTGTCTTCAATGGCTCACAAACAATGCGTCATAAAAGCCAAACGCTTCTTTCTGAAACGAATCCCATTCGCATCAGCTGTCAACTCGTCTTTCCGCAGCTCACAGTACGCATCAAAAATGACAACAGAGTCCCTCACAGCCTCTCATCTCAACTTACATAACTTACTCTTTCACACAGAAAATTGTTGGGATGTCACATCATTATGCAATAGTGCCTATCTGTTGCCTTCTGTTAGGCGCTGTTGCACGAAACATGTGAAATAAATGGAAAAAATAATCTTCAAAAATGTCATCGTGTCCCTTTTATGTAAGATTTAAATGCATTCTCATGTTGCAAGGTGTGAATTAAAAGCCGCCTGGCGCTAAATGCGAGTAGATCTCCCATTTGGAGGGTAGTCATGTAAGAAATCAACTACGTATATGCCGAAGGTCTCTTCCTCATTTTTGTGTCATTTACAGACACGCTGCTTCTGGTTTCTGCTGTCTTGTCTGAGTTTGACACACACATAATGCTGCGTTTTTTGTCTACTTTACTGTGCCTTTAATTAGCTCTACCCTTTATATTTTTGTCCATGCGTAACTACCTCATCGTATCTCTAAGGGAGCAATGGACACTGGCCAGTCAGAGGCGGACTACAGCACCCACAGGTGTTACCAAATATTGAAAAAATCCCTGAAGTCTCTACGTGTTATGGATGTCTTCATCCTTGCATTTTGAATTTGTTTCCATACTTTGTCTCCTATCTGCTCTGTGTAAACACAACCTGCAGTTCAGCTCAGCAATGCAAATTTGTCAGTTTATTTTTTGCATGTTTTTAAATGAGACATGCAGAATAAAGTGAGTTTGATTTAAACAAACAAACAAAAAAACGGCACATCACAAATGACTACTTTGAAATTTGAGAATTTGCCATTTCTAGTTTCTAGACTAGAACTGACTGTGGTAAATGGTGTGATAACATGCATTTTAGGAGGCTATAAGGTGGCTCGGTGGTTAGCAGCTACAAGATCCCTGGTTCCTCCTCCCCGGTAGTGAGGATTAAGCGGCGTATAGATAATGGATGGCTGGATGGATGCCCTTTGGGGTTGCCTTTCAGTGTTCAGAGGATTAATAATAGAATGCTGAGATCAAGACTTTCTGAGTTGTATTCAACCGTTAATATATTAAATATTGGATCAAACATTGTTCTGACATCAATAAGCTATTATAGCTTAAACTGGAACAAAAGATTATCTAACACAGAAAGACAATCATTTTACCAGGTTAAAAAATAAGCTTTTCATCTGCCAATCCCCTGGTCCACTGCACGCAACACTTCAAAGACTTGCTGTCTCATTCCCCAGCATACCTCCTCAGATGTCTCTCCAATGTGCTCGAGGTTGAGTCATCTTTGTCAGAAGTTCTTCAACATGCTTTACGTGAAATATTTTCCCTTTGATAACAATGCGATCACGTTGAAGCTTCTGTTTTCTGTGAACATTGTTCAGTTTGGCTTTAACAGCAAATGTTTGAAGTAGTTCAATGAAACATACATAAAGTCTAAAGCATTGTTTAGATGAGATCGCTTTGGTGATTTTGATTGAATTGCATGTTGGCATATTGATAGTGTGGTGAGGTTATATCCATATATTGCTCAGTGGAAAACACATGCAGTCTAAGAATAATTGCCTAAAAATGATGTAGCTCTTACCCATAGTAAGAGCTCACAGGTATGACGACATCATCATCGTTTCAAACATTGTCACACAGTATGAGGGAGGTTTATATATTATGTAACTGCTATTATTAGTTGTATAAATGATATTTGAAGTGATACCATGTCATTTTTTATGTTTTCTGTTCAGTCGCACATGTCTTGCAGAAAACGTCCAACACTTTCTTTTACACCATCCAGTAAATGCCGTCCTTTATTCTTTAGTAATTCCAGGAGGTACAGATTCGCCACCTCACCTCCCACCCTGGGGGAACACCGACTTCCTGATCAATGAGCTGAACACCGACACACCCGGAGCCGCTGAGGACGGCGAGTACATCGAGCTTTGGCACCCATCAGGCCGCAGAGTCTCCTTGCAGGGCATCTGGATACTGCTGTTCAGCGCGCACAACAACAAACCCTACAGGGAGATCAGCCTGAGCGGACACTTCACCACCTCCAAAGGATACTTTCTGCTGGGCAGCGACAGGTTGGTTCCAGCTCCGTCACTTCGCCTTCCTCCCAACACCATCCAGAACGGACCGGATGCCGTGGCGCTCTACCGCAGTCCCTTTGGCCCACCATCGGCGGGGCAGAGGGGCATCCCCACTAAAGGCCTGCTGGATGCAGTGGTGTACCGACAGAGAGGATCCGATCAGGAGGCCCAGGAGCTGAGTAAAGCTCTGACACCGGGACAGCTGCCACTGCTGGAAGATCCAGAGGTTCTGCCTGGTGACGAGGCGTTGAGCCGCTGTAGAGGCCTTTACCCCTATGACCTGTCTGCCTTTTCAGTGAGTACAAAGGGGGAGGATTTCATGCTGGAATTAAGCAGTTAGTCAGAAGTGTGTGCTTTATTAGCTCAGATGATGATACATTCTGTAGGATGAATTATCATTTAAACCTTCATTTCTACAAGTAACAGTTCAACCTTTTGGGAAATGTACCGATCTTTGCTTTCTGTCTGAGGGTTCGATGAGAAACCTGATACCGCTTTCATATCTGTACACGAAATTCAAAGTTACTGCAAGCAGCCAGTTCGCTTAGCTTTGCAGGAATTTAGCCGACCAAGAAAAAATCCTGCACATAACTCTTCATAAAACCACGTCATTTGTGCTCAGCTAAGCTGGTTAGACTTGAACCGAGGGAAACAGCGAGCCTGGCTCTATGCAAAGGTAACAAAATCCACCTACCGGCACATCTAATGCTTATATGTCATTTGTTAAACACTAAAGTGTAAATATGGCATCATGTGGTGTGATATTTTGGGGTGCAGTTGCTGCCCTAAGTGAAGGAGTTTAAGTATCTTGTTCATGAGAAAGTGAGAGAGATAGATGGTTTGGTGCAATGGCAAGAGGAGTGCAGGAGTTGTGTTGGACTGTCTGGTTAAAGAAAGCTGAACTGGAAGACAAACCTCTGGATTTACCAGCTGTTCTACTTTCCAGCTCTCACTTATGGCTCTGGGTGGTGACTGCAAGAATGAGGTCTCGGATCATGTGGAAGTGGGTTTCCTTCACAGGGTGGCTTGGCCTGGCCTTAGAGCTAGGGTGAGGAGCTCGGACATCCGGAGGTAGCTCAGAGTAGAGTTGCTGCTCCTTTGTGTCAAAAGAGGCCAGTTGAAGTGGTTCGGGCATCTGATTAGGATGCCTCCTGGGCTCCTTCCTTTGGAGGTTTTCCAGGCATGTCCTACTGGGATGAGACCCCGGGCAGACCTAGAACTCGCTGGAGGGATTTTCATAGCTCGTCTGGCCAGGAAACACCTGGGGACGTCTGGAATACCCTGCTGTCACCACGGATAATTAAAAATAAATAAATGGATGGATGGATGATGTCATTATGGGATTATGTGCCAGACTATTTCTTGGCTGAGTAAAGTAACCTCCTGTAGCTACAACAGTATGTTTTTCTTACATTTTGTTTTGTGCACTGATTCAGTGAACAAAATACAAAGCCTGGGTCATTGATCTCATGATCGTAAATCGTGGGCATTGATAATTTTGTGTATGATCAGAGGAATCATACAGAATACAGTTCAATCCCCTGCCCATGTAGGTGTTTCCTACCTACTGGCTGACCAGGTCGCTTTTATGGCGATCCTCGCTGTCACTCGGCTGCCATAATCCTATGATCGTTTAGCCAGATTGCCCACCCTTTATATAAATTGTTAATTAATGAGCTTTATAGGCACTAGGATGTAAATATTGTTTACCTTGTTGTGAGTCAGTCAAACTCCTTGTGCTAAGCTAAGCTAACCAGCTGCTTCATGTTTAGCCTTTTCAGTGGTATCAAGCTTTCGTGCAAGAAGGCTCATAAGCATATTTTCCAAAATGTCAAACTAGTTCTTTAGATTTATGTTTTTGCAGCTAAAGAAGATCTTTTCTTTTGTTGTATTCTTATTTAAATGCACGCCGTCTCTGATGTATCCACACTGGACTTTTTTAAAACTCTAAACACACCACATGCATCAATCAATACAGGTGGCTCCCCCCACCCCTCTGAGGGAAAACAGCTGCCCCCGTCCTCCTCCAGCCCCTGAGGGCGTGGTCATCAGCGAGGTGGCCAGCAGTCACTGGACCAATCACAGCCAGCAGAGAGCTTTCGTGGAGCTGCATGGGCCGCCCATGATGAACCTGCGGGGCCTGGTGCTGTCTGTGTTCGACCAGGAGCGAACAGGGACCGTCATCGCACTTCCTCTGACCGGGTATATTGACCGGGATGGATTTTACATGATTGGGAATGTCACTGGAGCAGGTGAGGCCAGTGGAAGACCTTGTGGCAAAGAGACGACAGCTGCTATAGATTAAATATATCCCAACTCCTGCTTAATCCTGCTGTCTCTCTTTTTGTCTCTTCTTTTTTCTTGCTTTGCACCCACTCTCCTATTCTCTCACTGTGTTCCTTCACCTCGTCTCTCCCCGGCATAGATCAGACCTTCCCGGAGGGATCCACGGTGCCAGTGCGGGGAGCAGTGGTCCTGTGCTACGACCTGTTCAGCGTCTGCAGAGCTGGAACCGCTCTGACCAATTCTAGCCTCAGAGACGTGCTTGTGTTCAGTGAAAACCGGCAGCTGCTGTCCTCTCTGTCCACCAGCAGAGGGAGACAAGTGATGCCAGCTCTCAGGTAAACACAGACTGAATCCCACAGTCTGAATCGATAACAGCTTTTACTGAGTTTTTATGTTTGAACCTTCGTATTTATGATTAGTTTTAAACCAAGTAGCAGCTTTTTACCTCAGTGGTTTACAAAGTGCTCGTTCACACACCCAAGACACTAATGGCAAGTGAACCTGCCATGCAAAAGATGTTCCCTGCCAATTTGGGGTTCAATATCTTTGTGTCGTACTAGTCAGTCTACATTTTTTTTTAGTTCTCCCTACTTTTACTCTTGTGCTGTTTCCATAGAGAAGCAGGATGTTATATTGCAGTAAAAAATGAGCCCGCAGTGAGAGAAACTGTGACTGGAGCAAAAATACGCCCAGAAACTACGTGGAGTTTAGAGGAGTTTTTAGGTTTTTGTTAAAACTGTTTTTAAAAGGTGTTATTTCCTGTCTGTCATTTTGGAGGAAGTTGTTTGTGGAACTGTTGAATCATATTTTGCTTTAATAATTTTTTTTCTTGACTATCACCACACAGGCTCACAGAAACACTTCTACACAATATAACACAGTCACTTGACAACTTGTACACAAGACTGAATTTTTGAGATCCCCAGAGTTAATGAGAGCCAGTCACAACAGTCACAGTCAAAATAGTCATTCAGCCAGTTTGTATGCCTGCAAATGTTCTCTTGTGTAGATTTGCTGTTTGACTCTATCATTTGTTTTACTCCTGCATATGTATTCAGACGTGTGTTGTTGTGCATACTGTGCGTGCAGGTCGGTGGAAGATGGTCCAGTCTCCCTCAGCCGGTGTTCCTGCTGCGAGGTGAGGAGCTCCTCCTCCTGGACGAGCTCCTCTCCCACACCTCACAGCACCAACCTCTGTCCCAGCTCCGCCTTCTCCAGCCAGATTGACCTTTGCCTCGGACCTCTGTCCAGCGACTGGTACGGCCAGTCAGGAGGTGAGGCATCCTGAAATGACAAAATGCATTTAACATAAAACTAAATAAAACAGGGTTTAGGGAGGAGGAGGTACAGATATACATGTTAAACAAGTTCTGAGACTGTTTAAGATAATTGTAGATTTTGAACAATAATAACAGAAGCTGCTATATTTTGACATGAAATATTTAAATTTCATGTCTCTCTCTCTGTCTTTCATGTGTTTTCTAACTGATAATTTAACATGCACAGCTGTTGCATGTAACTCGTGTTTGGTGAGTTTGCCAGATGCTGCAGTTACAAATCAGTGTTTTAGAAGTGCAGAGCAGCAGGTTGGAAATGGCTGTGAAGTCACTGCTCGTTAACACGTAGTCTTAAGAGCTGAATTTCAGGCACTATTTCATACTGGATCAGAAAGAGGAAACTATTAGAATCAGAACAGCTTGATTTTGAATCCAGCTTTATTAAAATGTAGCATATAAGAGCACAGAGAGCAGGAGAGACACAGATGTAAACACCAATGGACGTTAGGTTACACAGATGTACAACAGGCAGAACATTTGATGAGCTTTGTTCGTGGTGGAGATATTTTGGAGATAGCAGAGGCAGCTGTAGAAATAAACCTACCATCCTGTAAGGCAGCTGCTCATTCTGAATGGCTGACCTGGAAGCAGTGGGCAGTGAGAGGCAGAATTATGCAAATCTTCAGCTTAGTTCCTATAAAATTTTAGAAAATCCTGACTGATGTGTAAAGCTGGGGGGCTACCTAGTTTTAGGGAGGCCAGAGAATTGGCATTAGTAAGTATCTTCATATTTTTACAGCTTATTTACATCTCCACATTTTAACAAAATAGAAAAATAAAACTGATTTTTTGAATATGGAACTTTTAAGACACTGAGATAAATTGGCTAAAAGCATATAAACCACACCAGTCTTATATTAGTCTTGTATAACAAGAAAAGTATTCTTGAAGTGCATAAAAACATTAATGACACAGCTTTTAAAAAAAAAAAGCAGTAGGAGTCTACTTTCAGCTTGTGCGTTTCTCTTTTCCTAACACCCTTGGTGCTTGGCATTTAGACTGAGTGTGAACTCCACATGTTGGCCGGTCAATTAACAGTGTGAGGAAAGAAGTTGCATCTTATGGCTGCACAGGGACTCCGATTAAAACTCACAGTCGACATGTAGGGTGATTTAACACATCGTACATGTTTAATGAATTGGTGCAGTGATGGGACTAACACTGCTAGTATGCCGTGGTTCATAGACAAGCGCTGCCAAAATGTTCCAGGTGTTACTTAAAGTATAACATTTTCAGAGTGCAAGTATGTCGGCGTAAACAGACGTCTGACAGTAAATGTTGGCTCACACGGTGTCCCCATCTGAGGACATTTTTCAGGATGAACACAAGAAGCGTTTCTCAATGAATAAGTAATTTAAAACTTTTATTTTTGTGCTCAACAAAACTCTTTTAACATGTAGCCCAACACCTCAGATAACAAGCAATCGACATTCGGAGGATTTTCTGGTTGTTCACAACCTTTCAAGGGTTATATAAAAGCTCTAATTTTAGTAATTTATCAGTCAAAAATGTAGAATTTTTAAAATGTATCTTTGTTTGTATACGGGTCATAGCTCATTAAGTCTGCTGTTATAAAAGAGTCTCTTCTGTCTTTGTTCTAGACTGCAGCGGTCTGATTCACGGGAAGAGAGTCGCCGAGGTGGCCGACTACTTAGAGCAGAGGTGTCACTGTGGCATTTCTGCGTTGTACCTCCAAGGTGAGTTCCTCTGACACACAATCGATTCCACATCACACCGTCACTAGCTCTGGATGGAGAACTCGACTTCTAACAGTCACTTATAGCCCTTTAATAAGACTGAATGCTGGTGTTAGAAGGTGTAGTTGATGTAAGCAGCCACAATTTATGAAGAAGCAGCTGAGATTTCTTAATAATCAAGCATTTGTTCACAAGTTTAATAAGTAAAAACTCCCAAATG